CCATTCCCGCGTATCTTCGCCATGCGTTTCCTGCCGAACTCTCACATAAAGGCGGTCTCTCACATGCTGTTGTCAATATCTTACGAGTTGGAAATCAGAACAAAATGGGTCCAAGTGGTGTGCATGCGCTTCTTTGCGAGACACATACACGGAGGTACAACCAACCCTCCTCTTGCAATATCTGGAGATAATTTTGGAGCGGGAGCTTGATTTGCAAGCAAAGACGGATGCGGCAGCGGCGGGATCAGCAGGAATGCGACAACAGACACTTACAAATCTAGTCTCGCTTGGAAAATTTCCCGAATTCGGAAGCTTTGGCGCTGTCGAGGGATATTGGCGGCTACGTTCCAAGTGAGCGCTTACCTCAGTGCTATGCTGAATAAGGTGATCGAGCGAGATGAGCGGGATGCTGCTCAGCATACCCATGTATCCCACCACGTCAACTAGCCCAGGATGACAGTTATAAGGTCTGTTATTTCTCTAGTTCTGTCTTTAGCTGTTTCTAACTATCGGTCCAAATATTAGGTAACGAAACACATGGCACAAGAAGATGGGCTGGGTCTTTGTACCGGGCTCTTTACGTGCATGTCCGACTGGTTCATTAGGGCACAGGCCTTAACCATGACGAAAGCACATGAAGAACGCATTGCTCCACTTCTTGGTATTGCGAACTCTGCAAGACATCTCGGCTATGATGAGCCTGAAATCATTTTCTCAGATGATCCTGTTAAGGTCTGTAGCTTATTCTCTGTTTTCAAGTGTACCATCTTAGTAAATGATAGGATAAGAGACTACTTGAGTCCGTCTTTCCAAGCATTGCGGCAGGATTAACTCCGGTTGCAGTTGCACACGGCCTTGATCCCTTTACACTTGCACTTGGATTGACTCCACTTTTCCTTTCAACAAGCGAACTCGTCGAAGCATCTCTTGCTCCATTCGTTTGAGATCTTGATGACGACGACACCAAAACAAACTTCCTATCTATCAGTCTCGATGCGGAATGGAATCCATCTCGCACTGTTGGTGTATCAATTATTCAAATGGCACCACATGTCGATTCATCCTCCATCTTTATCATTCCCGTACATCGCTTTCGAAGACTCCCTCCCTCTCTACTTCGACTTCTCATCCACAAGCGTGTATTCAAGATCGACTCGGGCGTAAAAGGGGATCTGACTAGGCTTCGTAAGCAATTTACAGAGCTTAAAGATCAGATATTCGAGATGATCGAGCTGAAGGATTACGCAATTCAACGTGGAATTCTCAAACGGCGAGAGAGCGGGTCGCTTGATGCGATGGTGCGAAAGCTTCTAGGAAAGTATCTCTGAAAGGATCCAAACATTCGCTGCAACGAGAACTGGGAGCAGGCAATACTTGCACTGGACTTGTTGGCGTATGCCGCCTGCGATGTTTTCGCGTCGCGACTACTCTTCGAGGCAATGTCACGTAAAAATCCACTTCCCCGAGTTACGAAGGATACTCCAGCTGGTACACAGGTAGCATTTCTAGTCCAGGAAGGAGGCGAAATTGCAGCAATCGGCAGAATTGCTGCTGATCAGCCTTCGTCCCTTGGTGGAGTTCGGGTGGCTGTACCAACTCAAACTCGGTTGTCATTGACATTAAAACGATCCGTATACCCTCCGCCGCTGTCTTCCTCCATCAGGTTCCACGAAATCTAGCACCGGGACAACGTCAAACAAGGACGAAAGCGGGGGCAAAGTCACTTGATGCGCTTCGGACCGAATCATCGAGCAATATCTTCCCTATTGTCGCGCACATATCTCAGCTCTCTCTTCACTCCGACAATAAAGTTATGTCCTCACTAGCTTCCATAAACGAGGCAGACTCTTCCCATGCGCGAGAAGACAGCTCCCCATTATCTGACTCAGATCCTCCTCATCCATCCTCAAGCAACACACCAAGCCTGATTGGCAGACAATACGGGTCACTTACAGTTCTTCCTATTCCACGGGTAGACTCTCTTGAAAGTCAACCTCCCACTGCTGATGCCAACATGAATGATGATCGTACATCATCGCCGGATTCAGATGATATCAGAGAGGAGGCACCAGCAGACGAAGTGGAAATCAGGATGCTTGAAGCACATGCTGAGCAAGTGCGACGTGGTCAAGCAACACCTGATCGCCGTGATGAAGATTCTTTCTCCGAGTCTCTAGGATTAACTGATTTCGAGAGGTTTCTCTCTGATCTCGAAGAAATCATCGCGTCGCCTCCCGATGCGGATTTGGTCTACCAAAAGGTGAAGAAGGATATTTTCCACACTTTCGACATGATTCCGACTTCCGTTCATCATGGACTATGACCAGGATTTCTTTGGGCCCTCCGTGATCACCTCATGCGGTGGGACCCAAACATACGCGAACTTGTTCACGAAGTCTGTCAGCAGAATTTCAACTGTTCATTTGAAACTATGCTGGCTCGGAACCCGCGCTGGATTGCTGAACGATGCCCACGTCATATTCCCGCTCCTAGTATCCTCGTGCGCGCTCTTGAGTTTGTCTTTGGTGTATTCGGACATGGCACTAATGCCCGCTCGGGAGATCCGCTATTCAACCATACTGCATGGCAAAAAGCACATGCAGTTCTTCAGTTGGCGCGAGAGGGCTATCTGTCTGACAACGCAGGCCAAAAATACCTTTTTTGCCAAATAGCCTAGTCTGAGGACAAACTTTGATTAGGCAAACATATAGTCTAACGACTATCAGCCCATGAACACCATTTGGCAAATTATCTGAGAGATGCCTCTACATCTATTTGGCAAATTACTATCAAATACTGCTTCCTAATAAAAGCATATACATGAAACTGAGCTGGCTGATAATATTCTATTTGTCAAATATTATACCCATCGACTGTCGTGTCCATGTCCAGTCATTTGGCAAATTCGCCAAATATGTATCTATCGACTATGCTATTTATGGACCTACTATTTGGCAACTTAGAGCACTATATATTTAGTATCATAATACATCACGGACCATATTTTCAGGGTCTGCATAGCCTAAAAAGGAAATTTTTGCCCCCCGCCTTCGGCGAGAGCATTCAAATAGAGTGATTCCAAGTATTGTGTCTAGTTACAAACTTGTTCCCTGTAAGTTCGCAGCATAATGTGTAACACCCTGTGAACCTACGTAAACTTTTAACTAATACATACTCATATCACAACATATCTACTGCTCCATGATAGTTTAAATATATAAGTAGTGCCGCAGTGATGAGCTCCTTATCATAAGTTAGGTTCTTGACCTCGCATTACGTGTCATGTGAATATGTGGTCTAAACAGTACAGTATATGCGCTTGAAGGCAACTGCTTGATGGCTTCAGAACTAGGACCTAGAAGATTAGTATTGAAACTGTGAGTAATATGCCTGGAAGGTTTACTTACTGTAATTTATCCTACTATTCCCAAGTATTTTGGACACTAAGATGAACTTGCAAATAGGTGTTGTTGAAATGGTACTACTGCAGGAGTTGAGTTTTGGACAGTAAGGAGAAGTTGTAAAAATATTTTATGAAATGGTATTATCATTCCACATTGCAAAAAAAATGCTAACTTCGAAGCGTAGGAAACATGCCCACTGCGGGACTCGAACCCGCATCAGTCAAGATCGGAGTGACATGCTCTAACCCACTAAGCCAAGTGGGCTTCCTTAATCTGAAGGGGAATAGACCCTTGATATTCCCTGATTCATTTCTTTCCTTTACTCCCGCCACATAGTGCTGCACAAGCCATAAAACAAAAAGTACATAAATCTAAGGTCGTAAGTCAGTATAAAAGTCGTCGTCAGTCGTTACAGTAGGAGTCCAAATCACCAACCCATACAAACAGTTTGAGGAGTCCGAGACGCCGCAAAACTACGCCTCCCACCCCGCCGCCAGAAGCCCTTCCAAAACATAAGTGACGTCGGCCACGGCTTCACCCCACTGCTTCGCCAGGCCGTGAGGACCCTTCGTCAGCGTATGGTGCCGGCCCCACCAATGAAGACAAGCAATTACGGAAGCGATGCCATTCCGTCCCTTCGCCAGGCGCAGCTCCCCCCAGTCCCGCCCAGCTGGATCGGGGCGATGTTCCTCAGTCAACGGGCCATCCAACCCCGCCACTTCCCTCCAATCTGGCTGCACATACACCCACCATCGCCAGAAGTCGCCGGCGAACTTCTTGAGCTCCTTAGGGGCGATGACGATAGGTTTCACCCGTCGTATGTTGACCCACTGTGTTAAGGCTGCTGGTCTGTCATCCGTTACTTGGTACCCAAGGATGATATTTCCCAAATGAAAACGTGCCAGTCCCTCCACACGCGTCCACAGGGTCAAGATCGTCTGCCATTCATCACACGAAATCGTGTCAAATTGGTTATAGCAAAGGGAAAACCAGCTGGTCCAGCCTGACCTGTCCAAAGAATTGAACGGTGGTGACACAGGAGCAACCAAGGCGGCGCGAGTCGATGGTGGTTTTCCACGTGTTGGTTCAACCGTGCGTCGCGACGATGACGCTTCCACTCGAATCCTCTGGTCTCCGGTAGGCGGCACGCGATTTTGCTTGCCGCCTGGCTTGGAAGACCTCGTCACACGGTCGGTAGGCTCGACGTTCTTCTTCTTCGCGCCACCACCAGCGTCTCCTGCATCTTTATGTCCAACGTTCATTCTGGCAAAAGGGTTTTCACCAGGTTTGATTATTGGTGAGAAGTCGAAGTTGAAGTTCTCCATGAACTCGGAGACATCATCATCTCCCCTTGTCACGACGGGTTCAAACTCGTCGACGTCCAAGCCAATCGAAACCGGATTCAGAATGTCTTCCATGCCATCTGCTTCCTCCGGTATTCTGTTCAAGGTCTGGACACGATCATCCTTCTTCTTGAAACGCGACTTTGGCCTCGGCCTCAGGTGTGGCGGCGCGTGCTCAGGTGGAGGTCGTCGTCGTGGAGAAGGAGTACGTGATGGAGAAGGAGTACGTGATGGAGAAGGGGTACGGACAGGACGCTCTGAAGCAGAGCGTACCCCACGTCGGGGCACTAGGGGTTGAGCGGTATCCTCGTCCTCGGCCGCTGCATCTGTTGTGTTCGAAACCGACTTCGCCAAACTGAGCAATTTCTCGCGGTGAGCGGACATGGCAGGTGGCGCTTTCTTTCGGCCGCGACTTGACGACACGTCCGCCAATGTCGCAGAGCCCAATGCCGTGGAGGTCGTCGTTGTAGCTGGCCCTTTCTTTTTACCCCTCTTCGCTACCGTCTCTGGCAAAGACTTTTTCTTCCTGGGGGAGATATCAGCCTCTTCGTCCTCCTCCAAGGCAACGGTCTTTCGCGGATGGCCGCGAGGGCGCCTCGGAGGTGGACCGTCTTCTTCACGTTGTTTTTCACGTTCCTCACGAGCCTTTCGACGCCGGCGAGGCTTCTCGATCTCGTCATCTGAATCATGACTGGACTCATCGCCGTTTGCGTTCCGGCTTGCCCAATTCTCGCCCTCCGGAATGGACATATTCTGTACGACAATCACTATCTGACTGTCCGTACTTCGTGCAGATTTTTTGGGTGATTTGGGCACGGTCCCTGGAATGCCGCAAGCTCTCAATTCCGCCGGCGCTAGACAGCTTCGTCAGTTTTGTAACCCAAATGATATTGATAAATTTGAGCACATACTGTAAGCGTCGTCCAAAAACTCCCTGAACGCGTCGATATGCCTTGCGAACAGGGGCGATTTGCCAAAGGATACAGGAATGGGGTCATGATTGAGTCCTCGGTCCAAGCTACACCACAATCATTCCTAATTATCACACGTAGCAAAGAAATGAGCGCACCTTCGGATAACGAGTCGCCCGCCTTCACTAGGATTGGGTACTCCCATGCAAAACGACACCTTGGCGTGCAACATGTTGCTCAGTGAAGTAAGCAGAGGGTCCAATAGGAAAGGAATATTTTCCAGGAGTCTATGAAAATGTCAATTTGGTGAAATCTCAAATCTGATGAAGTTGTAACACGTACTCCGCCGCACGTTCAGGATCCAACCGCGTATTAACCATTTCCGACATTTCCTCTCTTCTCGCAAGTGCAGCCTCCTTCAGCGCCAGGTTCTTATCGACGTACATTTTCTGGACCTCCGCCGAGCACTTATGGAATTTCCGTGCGTAATATTGCATTTCCGCCCAGGCGCGTCCCTGTTTGGGTTTCCCCGCCGCCTTGTACCTCTTCAGCCAGCTGCTCCGGAATTCCTTAGGTTGATCCTTCGCCCATAATTGGAAGGGTGGGCAACATGAACCGTGGCGGCACCAAGCCCCAAGAGCTCGTGGACCATCAACATCGCCAAATTCTCTCCAGATGCGTCCGTGCTGTTTGATTTGACGGACGTCTTCTTCGCCTTGCCAGGCTTATGTCGGCCTCGCACTGTATCTCCGTCCTGATCCTTGTATCGGTACCGTAGCCAATTAGTGTAGCTCTGAAATGATTCGTTAGAATGTCCCTCTTCAGACCACGCCCACGTACCTTGCGAAAGCGCTCAATATGGGCCCGCCTGGAAGCTTTAGCTTCCTTGGACTGCAGTGACTCCTCTTGGCATTCCCGGACGCTTTCGTTTAGTCCCTCATGGTTCTCCGTGCCCTAAATGCAAAAGTTAGTGGCCTAGTAACTAGAGTCATCAAAATAGGGCTTACTTCTTGGACACGCGCGACGCGTCTGCACCGGAGCCTTCAGCGTCACGGCTCATAGGGTTCTACAATAATCCGCGTCAGTGTCGCCGGTGCACCACCAAGAAAAACAGCATGCACCTTTTGCGTCCCTCGCTCCTTCGGAGTCTCCGGCGTGTCGTAGGGCTCATGCATGTCTTCGTCCACCTCCTCCTCCAAAAGCTTTGAATCAGCTCCCCATGGTCCAAACTCTCCGAAAAGGGTCAGCATCTCGTTCGAGGCGCGTAGGGCAAACTGGGTTCCATCCTGGGCACTGGTCCTGTTGATCCTACAGAACTCGTCGACGTGATTGTCATAAAGCGTATTGTTCGGCCTCCCCACCAAGCCAACCTCTGAGGAATTTTGTCACGCAAACCGGGACTTTCCCAGAGTCAGAATCAGAGTCAGAAGGTACGTTAGATTCATCATCGCTCTGTCTGCCGGACGCATGTGCCGCTTAGCAAGCAATCATTCCAGATGTAGTCGCACTTACGCTCTCTGTTTTCTTTTCTTCACCATGTTTTCAAGTCGTTCTCTCTTCGCTGGTCGTCGCACTCCACGGGAAGTGTTCTGACTCCTTGTGGCGTGGCGGATAATCTCAAAACGGTATGGCATTTAGCCATTATTGGCCGACAACCTTGTTGCAAGACGCCGCAACTATACAGTTGCACCCACGCTTGGCCTATTTGAACCGTTCTTTCCGCTCCTCCTGTTCCATACCTTCTCTTACTTTCCGTTCACCATCTCGCTCTCTAACAATATGGCGAAAACCACACCATTCAAAACTGTCGACAGCGTCGACCTGCTCGGTACCTTCTACATGGGTTGCGCCGCCTCTATAACTAATTCTTCTTCTGTAGAACTTGCCAGCGCCTGCGTGACATCCAGCTTCACCCTCAAGAGGCGGGTCTCCTCATTGACCTGATCGGGATAGCTACTACACGCTTTGAACGTGTGTACGCCCTCCTCCTGTTGCCTTTTGACCAACATCTGCTGTACAGAAAATGCGGAACCTGCGTCTACGGATTCGCAAATGAGCAAGTCTTTCTCTGCTGGGGCACTTCGTCTTCTGACTCGTTCCTTGCAGTTGCTGGGGCCGCAAACGCGCCCGCTGGCTCTGCCGCCGGTAGGTTTGACTTCGACTTCTTTTCCAATCGCGTTTAATTAACAACGGATCAGTCAGTCAATCTGCTAGCTCCGTCGGTATGTCCCTATTTCTCTTGATGCTGAACACTGACGTACTTGCCTCCAGTTACTACTACGCCCGCCTCCGCCACACAAGGTTACATGACTACGCCCGTCGCCACTCCAACCCACGCTGCTCTCCCGCAGGCGACTACACCCAGTATTCCAGCAGCCGGTCCCCCTCCTACTTCGTCTCCCGCATCTGCCGCGCCCGCCGTCGCTTCGTCTGCCGCATCACCAGCACCCGCCGTCGCCTCATCTCCCGCGGTAATTACGCCCACCCTGCCCGCTTCCAACAATGGTATGACATTTTGACTGTCACTTACTCGGAGGTTTGACGTATAGTGTCAGGTCATCCCTATTTCCAGGTCCTGCCCGCCACCTTTAACTTCGTCTCCCCGGCTCCCGGTACCCCCGGTCCTTACTACGTGATTACTAGGGGTCGCGTTGTCGGCATCGTTGCTGGATGGTGAGTTGAAAACTGTTCGTTGGCATTGTTCCTCTAACTCATTGAATCCATCAATCAGGGACCGTGCGTCGCCGAACTGCATCGGTTGGTGGCGCTGTTTTCCGTTCCGTTCCCAGCGTTGACGCCGGCAAACAATTGGTCCAATCTGCCTTGGCTGCAGGCGCATGCATGTTACTTCCGTAGACGGCGTCTTTTCCTTCTGTGCAGTAATCCTGCTTCAACTGTCGTTACATATCCATCTGTCTGTCCTTATGTGTGTATGCCCCCGTGATATAGTTAACAGGTGAAATGTTATAAATTGTGACTCCTTCACTACGCGTAGACTACAGCAAGGTAC